GGTCACCCTTTGTTTCTCCTTGTGCTTTTGCCCCTTCCTTATATATATCGGCGCTTGTACATACTCGTCTGGTTTCAGTCCGAAATCGACCTGAAATGCCCCCAAGAGACTTCCTGCTCACCTACTGTGAAATTAAGGACCAAATGGACAAACAGCAATGGCACAGCACTCCGCTTGAGTCGCTGAGGCCAAGGTCCCTCCACGCTAAGTCTCCGATTCCACTCCGGAGTCATCCGTTTCCGCCCATCTCTAACAGTATGTTACTTTATTGTACCTTAGCTCTAATATCGATTTGACCACGACCCCTAAGTCCTGACCCCAACAAGGCAACCCCAGTAAGTCTGAAATGAGGGCCAAGAGACAGCTAGGGGGCACAGCGCTCCTTTAGAGTCGCTGAGGCCAAATGCCCTACCCTCGGGCCTTGTCTGAGGCATTGCGGCCATTGCGGCCTATAGCGGCCCGCATCGGTGACCTTCGGTGCCGACCCCGGATCAGTGTCTAACATCCTGACACGCTGATCATAGTCGAAACCGACACCTCCGATTACGCGATTTCAGGCATTATCTCTATCCGCTGTGTGGATGACGAGATACACCCTGTCGCTTTTCGTTCGAGGATGTTGACAGCGCCGGAACTCAACTACAACACCCACGACAAGGAGCTTCTAGCAATCTATGAAGCATTCCGAGGGTGGCGGCATTATTTGGAAGGCTCCGGTACCCCCGTCGATGTGGTTACTGACCACAAGAATTTGGAATACTTCTGCACCACAAAGCTCCTAATGCGCTGCCAGGCTCATTGGTCGAGTTTCTCTCTCAATTTAACTTGGTTGTCCGTTTCTGCCCAGGAAGACTCGGCATGAAACCAGATGTGTTGACTAGATGCTGGGATGTCTACCCCAAAGAGGGGGATAGGGACTACGCTCACGTAAACCCTCAGAATTTCCGACTGGTGTTCATGCAGGAGCGGCTCACATCCTCCCTAAGAGCTACATACCTCGCCAAACCCATGCTACAAGCGAGCTCCCTCATTGACGTCGACACCATCCACAAAGACATCCTAGCCACCCTCCCCACTGATCCTGCCATCGCCGACTACCTCGCTGGCTCGATCCCAGAGGACTCCCGTTGGTCTCGAGACATAGATGGCCTATTACGGCTAGACAACCGAATCTACATCCCTGATGCCAACGACCTCCGGCTTCGCATCCTGAGGTATAAGCATGACCACCCGCTCTCTGGCCACTTTGGGCAGAACCGAACCTTGGATCTGTTACACCGAGAGTACACCTGGCCGGGTGTCCGCATGTTTGTCAAGGACTATGTGTCCTCTGTATGGCTTGCACCTGTGCCAAGGCCCCACAACACAAGCTATATGGCTTGCTCAAACAGCTACCTATTCCCGAACGCCCGTGGCACTCCATATCAATGGATTTCATTGAGCAACTTCCCGACTCCTCTGGCTTCACAGCTATCTTGGTTATCGTCGACCGGCTATCAAAGCAGTGCATCTTCGTGCCAATGACCGATACCATAACAGCCCTGGAGTTAGCGAAGTTGTTCCTCCTTCATGTCTTCTCCAAGCATGGTGTTCCATCCCACATAACCTCTGATAGGGGTTCAAAATTCATCTCCCACTTCTTCCGCCCCCTGGGCAAGGCTTTGGACATTCGCCTACACTTCACCTCAGGTTACCATCCCGAAGGCGACGGTCAGACCAAATGAATGAACCAAACACTGGAGCAGTATCTGCATGTCTATTGTAACTACCAGCAGGACAATTGGTCCGAGCTCCTGCCTCTGGCGGAGTTCACCTACAATAACATGCCAAATGCTACAACCGGTGTTTCACCATTCTTCACGAACAAAGGCTACCACCCGAACCTTGCTGTACACCCCAAGCGAGATCTGACTTCGGCACGAGCCCAAGAGTACTTGGTCGATCTCGACTCTCTCCACCAATTCCTATGCGAGGAAATGAACCATGCACAGCAACGTTACCAACGCCCTGCAGATGCTTGATGGCTACCTGCTCCCCCGTTCAACATTGGCAGCTCCGCATTTGTGAAGGCCAAGTACTTCCGCACCACTAGGCCTTCGGTGAAGCTCGCTGATAAGAACCTTGGGCCATTCGAGATCATCGTGCAGCCAGGGTCTCATTCTCGTACTCTCTGCCTCCCCGACACCATGAAGGCTGTGCACCCAGTTGTCAGAGACCAGGTTGAGATGAGGGAGTGTCTCTGTGGCGGAGGGCTTTGGCCTCAGCGACTTATGCCAGGAGCGCTGTGCCAAGTAACACGTCCGTGCCCTAACTTACTAAACTGGCAACCAGAACTGAAGGGGGTAAACTCTAGTCGATTTTATTACTGAAGTGTAACCTATGTACAAGTTGAGTATATATAGTTACAGTGAGGGCAGGTCCGCAAATGGCAGAGCCGAGCTAACGGGGTTAAACATTAGCCGATTGAATATTACCGACAAGTCGGGTTATGGGGTTAATGGAAAGGCAGGTGATAACCCAGAAACGGAAAGGAGGGATAGGCCCGAAGGTGGGCTCTGCAGGGCAAGCGAGTGTATTGCCCAGCGGAGGCGGGAGTGCACTAGCGGACATCGGAGCTGTTGATGTGGCAGCCTGACGCCACACGAGGACAAAGGGGAGGCAGAGCTGCAGGCAAAGCGTTGCTGTGTGGCAAACCCTTAGCCACACAAAGTGCCGGAGGCGCTAGTTTCACCTTTGTTATCCGCTTTGTTGTATAGTTAGATAGACATAAAAGAGCGAGGATTACCTGAGTGCGATGCTCAACCCTGTTTGACATCGCACTCTAGGTAAGTCCTCAACCTTATAGATTGTACATAGTTTACATCTTGCCTAACATATTAACCCCATTTGACATCGCGCTCTAGACACCGCGCTCTAGTCTTCCTCCCACTGATTTACAGGAGCTGTCTGGAAGCCTTCAGGGCTCTGTACTTAGGGAGGTGTAGGTAATAAATTGAAAGGAGGGGGTGGTGACCATCGAGGGGTACCGAGGGGATTGCGGAATATGGGAGCTCCAAGGTTAGTGAAGGAGCGGAGGTAGACCAGAGGAGTCGGAGGGATCAGAAGTATGGATATGACAGCAGTGGTGAGTATTCAGCATCTCTAACTGAATAGACAACACAATCAGCCTAAATTTCTCTGTAACAGACAAGGGCTACTCATTTGAATTCAATGGCAAAGTTTACAACTTCCCTGCTGTTGAGTGCCCACCACCTGAAGTATATTATGCATCCAACTATGTGGCGTGAGTGCTCCCACATTATCTGGGAAGTAAACTGAAGATACTCTAGCCCGTGCCACACAGACAATGCACACATCAACTGGGTGGTGGCACACACATCATCCTGCATAGTGGAACCTGGTGTTGATCATTGTCAGGGACAGCTCCGAAAGCGGCGAGGTCCCTGCGCGCGGGACTCGGTGGGATGGATAGCGGCTGTGCGTAGCAGCGATCCTGTCGTGGGGTGAGCGTCCCTGACCACTTAGGCTGAAGTGGGAAGTTGGTTTATCATTAAAAGGGAGAAGCTATGGTACTTACCTGAAGTGGGAAGTTGAGAAGAAGGCTGCTTCTTCTGTTCCCACCCCAGGCGCTATTATATAGGAGATCCTGGAGGCAGCCGCTTGGTAGGCAGGAGTGTGCGCAGCGTGTGCAGCGATCAGGGGAAGGGGGTTGGGTATGTAGTGGTACATGGAGAAAAGGGAAATCGACTGTAGAACAGAAATAGAGAGAAGAGGGGAAAAGTGAGGAAGAAGAGGCAGGGCTGATAGTGGGGGGGTCGCGGAGTAGGGCAGTACGGCGCGGCGCATGGGGCGCGGCGCGGGGACAGGCAGGTGTGCCCTGACAATCATGCAGGAGCTGATTTTGCCAATGTTAGTCTTGGCATCATTGTGCACAGGGCACTTGACACCATCCTAGCATTCCACCCACTTCACCGCCACGGGACAACACTGTGTGAACATGTCCAGAGCACAGCAATTGCTTTCACATTTTCCAAGCAGATAGTGGATGCATTTCAAGAAACTTCAAAGCACCCTGGCTATGTCCCACACCCTGTTTTCACTTGGGTATGTACAAATGTGCAGCAGCAGCCATGTCAAGATGTGGGGGGAGACCCAATGGATGATGAGAATGTGGAGATTGATGGCCTACATGAGGTTTCTAACCCCTCAGAACTCCTGCAAAACCACAATAGTTAGTTATAAGGGGCTGGATATAGCCAGTTCCTTTCTAACCAGCATCTGCTGTTACCAGCGAGGCACAAATTTTACCCAATTGCCCTATTTCGCGAATGGTCCTTTATGAGAACTGCCTACAGGCATTCCAGGTGGGGCGCACTATTAGATCTGTGCTGCCTGCCAATAGCTGCCGAGTGGCTGCTAGTATGGCAGCCCTTTGGCTGCTGCTCTGCAGCAGCAGCACACTTCAGCCCAGCACAGGCTGCGCACCCCCGCTGCCTGCGGCTTACAGCCCGACACCCCCGTGGCGACACTTAAAGTGGGTGACCTCGTGTATTTGTCCTTAACTTAGGTAAAGGGATATCGCAGAAATTAGTTCATCAGCCCACTGAAGATTATTCGAGAAGCGTCGCCGGGCGCGAGCTTCGAATTAGAACTGTCAGATGAGTTGAAACGGGGAATACACCCAGTATTTCATTCAAAATTGTTGTGACCTCATATCCCTAACGATGATATCTTATTCCCCAGCAGAAAAATTGATAACCACGTGGGGCTAGGAGCGTCTGATGATTCATTTGTCAGGCGAGTCATACGACATGACGGACAAGGAAAAAATGCGAGGTTTTTCGCGGAATGGTCTGACGGCTCGACCAGCTGGGAACCATACATGACGCTACGCGGAAGAGAGCCCGCAGCGGGAGGAATAGCAGCTGGAGCCCCAGTTTAGCCGGGTGAGCATGCCTTGCGATTAGCCAGCGCTGCCGGGTTAGCAGCAGCCTGTCAGCCCGACAACTCTCAGCACCCAGGGCCGTGGGGGGCAGCCAGTTTAGGCTGGTGTTGCAGCGCCTCCCGCACCAAGGGCAGCCACATGGCTAGCAGGAAATGCAGGAAAATGCAGGTGCCGACTCTCCGCACTCGAGTCTTCCTTCCTATCGCCGGGTGTTTCTCCCGATTTTTGACCAGCGGCTGCACAAGCGTCTGCGGCGGCAGGCCACCCGGCGCTTAACTCCCTGAACCCGCACCCCTGAGCCTTTCTGCCTGAGCCTTCCACACCTCCCGTGCCACCATCTCCACCCCGGCACGGGCCCCTGCTCGATCGACGCTGCCGCTGCCCCAATCTCTATGGCGCTTCCGCCATCCAATTTGTCTTGACCCCGCACGTCTCCATGCCCAGGATAATGCCGCTCAAGATCGTTAACTGCGGGATAACTGCTGTCGATTAGAAGGATTTGGGCTGACAGCAAGTGTGCCCATTCCCACTTCTGGCCTGGTTCGTGACTAACGCTGCTTACTTGCCTGGATCGTCGCGCTCAGCTGACTCTGTGCCCAAAATTGCGATCCTGCGCGCGAAAATCGAAGCAGGAAATGCCTCATTCCCCCCATCCGCTTCCCCCGTTGTCATTTGAGGGTGTTGCACCGAAACATCTGCGGGGTTCTGGTGATCCAATATCCGAGCCTTGGCACCATTATCAGCACCGCAAACGTCTCGATCCTGGGCACATCGCATCGCTGCCAAACCGGTCACATATATTTGCACGAGCCCTAAGAGGCAGCAGAAGGAGAGTTGGCTGTTTGTGCGCGCGGAAATATGTAATCAATCACTATCAAGTGATGCTGAGCCAGGATGACCTGGATGCGGGTGATTCAAGGAGTCATGTCAAAACCACAGGGATGGGACCGTGAAACAAGCATTCGGATGCTCGTTTGTTTGCTGGGATAGGACTCGCCAGGCGTCAGAAGCAGCTTGAATGTTCCACCCTTGAAGGGAGTGTCCGCTGAGCTGAATTGTGGGAAAATCGTGTGCTGCGTTATACCTAGTGTTAGGAAGGCTACTTGGGCCGAATATCGCTGCATTCCACAGCATGAGTTCCCTGGGGTGTGACTTCATTGTGCAGCGCCCGAAGCAAGAAATAGTACCTAGCGGCTGCTGTAGTGAAGAAGGTCACCACCTGGACCGCTCACGATTTGGTTGTCGCGAAGTTGGCCAAAGTGTCTGGTTCGCAGCCTAAACAGCGAGTGAAGCGACCGGTCATGTGGGGGTCCAAAATTTGACTTTGAAACGGTCACTGCACACACGTGACTGCAGTAAAAGTAGACGCAGAACAGACAGACCCAACCCTCTGACCCAACACACCAATAAAAATATTAGCCGTGGGGAGATGCGCCGATTCGACAGCCAATTTTGGCATGCGGCAGGCTATAGCGACTCTGATCTCAGATGGAGAGGTGTTTCGTGCGAAGTGGCTGGGTGGCAAAAGAGATATCTAGCACCTTCGTCACGAGCAAGTCGCTCGTACATTCGTCTCGTCTCTCATTCAAGCTCGCCACAATTAGATCATCGCACCCTCGAGCTGAACTGTTATATATGACGATGACGATGATGCCAGCGAACGGCGTTGCCCGTGCAGTTTCCCCACTTGGTAGTCGACGTGCAGCCAGATTGTGAGTTGTATGGCTTCGTTGGTTCAGCCCAGCTATTAGTATACAAGACTGATCACCCCAATTTTTGCTGCAGCCGCGTTGCCAAATGGTTAAGGGCCCCTTCCGAGGATGATGGGCCAGAACGTCTCAAAAAGATTCTGTAGAAGCTCTTTCCACCCCCAGCGCGCTCAAAGCCGTCGCACAAGGCCTGGTCTGCATTAACCAGCCATTCGACTATTCAAAAGTGGTTGCGCAGCAGCATGGGCTCAAGGGCTTCTTCAAGCCCTCACCGCAGCCGCGTGTACATGGTATGAGAATCTTAGGTCGGCGATTTATGTTTTACAGGAGGGCGGGATTTACATGGCGCCTGAAACAGCCAATAATGCTAAGTACAGAATGGACGGCAAAGTCATCATCTTGCCACCTGCCATTAGAGGATGCAAAAATGATTCATGTTCTGGTTCCGCGCTCTTTGAAGCTGTTGGTTATTATCCACAATTCCTAAAAAATGTGCTTGGACAAGACCGCCAGTCCCGCTTCCCGTGTGTTCTCATGGTTGATTCAGGTATGTCGACCATCTGTACATTTTCAATATACTACTAGGGTCACTTCTTTGCTGATTGTGCATAGGAAGAACATACCTGTGAACCTATGCGTGATTTGATGCCTCTCTGGACAGGCGAAACCAGCATGAGTGCTGTGTCTAGCCTGGATGCTTTCAGGAAAGGCATCCAGTGGATGGAAACGCACTATGAGTCGCTCCCTTCCCTAGCCCCAGCAGCAGATCGCGCATTTCCCTATCCAAAGACAAGACAGGCCGGGATATCGGCTTCATGTATCAGTCACGAGTTGGGGGAAAGCTTGTCTTGTTGCACGAACCAGCGTTAGCCCTGAAGAATGCCTGCATATCAAGTTCGCGAAGCGCTATTCGGAAGAGGCCTGCCGATTACTCGCCAACCTGGGACATGCACCCCAGCTTTGGGGGGTGACTTCACTTCCTGGAAGTTGGCTTGTGGTTATCGTGGATTTTTCGCGATATCGCCCACTTTCTGACATCACCATACTCTCAAATGACAAGCGAAAACTCGTGAAATCTAACGAAATATCGTGCAAACGCTGCACAACGATATTCGAGACATTACCATTCTTGTTGACCCTGACACGCTGGCTATCCATCTGTTATATTTTGATTGGGCAGGAACATACCAGAAAGTCAGATACCCAGGACAAGTTAATACTGTTCAACGACCAGCTGGTGTATCGGGTGGGGAACTGATTACTAAAGACCATGATGTAGCAATGATTGACCTTTTGTTCTGTGTGTGGCAGTTTCACTTTCGCTGTGGAGTATGGTTTGGTAGGGGTGTCGAAGTTCGCGAGAAACCGGTTCGAACCGGAACCGAACCCGGAACTAAACTGCAGTTCGGTTCTGGTTCTCTAAGTATGCACATCTGGCGCGATTGAACCCGTTGAATGCTAAATCGCTTTCCATCCGTGGCTGTCCAGCTGGAACTCGAACGGTCATGGGCCACTGGACTGGAGCACGAAAAAAAAAAAGAGAGAAAGAAAGAAAACACGAAAACGAAAACAAACCAAGTGCACGTGCGATTGCCATGCTGGGCTTTGACAGCCGACAGCAAGTGGACGCCCCGTTCGTCGGTTGCAGTTTGGCGGTTTTTGCGAGTGGTCCAACGCACCATGCTCGACGCCCACAGGCCAGCGTCACACGTCTCGGTGAGCTGCCTCGTGTCCTGCCAGCGTAGACATGGGTTTCGACCGTACTTCAGGCCAAGGCAAAAGCCGCTCCCATTGCAGGCAAGCGCTTCGCCCCCCCCCTCTCCCCATACATGGATCCCGAGCTGGTGCGTTTGACCCTCTTCTTACCTTATTGCCTCTGCCGACGTTCTGATGTTCTGATGTCT